TGAAAAAACATTTTCTGGAACATGCCATATGTCACAAATAACCATGTAATTTTCCCCCAAATAGACAAAAAAACTCCGCAATTTTCAAAGAGAGGAAAAGTGTGTCTATACTCGATACATAATAAAGGGTGAATTTGGACAAAGGACAGTACGTGTTTTATTTGCATTGGTTTTATTTTATTTTATTAAACACCTTTTTCACAAATCCATGCATCTTTGTCTCATCAAAATCAGAAGCCAATATATATATAATGCACCTTTAGCTTTTAGCTTATTAATGTTAAACTATCTTCTATAAGTAAACTGGTTATTTTGTGGAAATATCTCTCCCAGTTTTCATAACACACAGTTTTTTTCATTAGCTATTTTTATGTGCGTGTAGAGGCTTCAAACTCCCTCAAGAATAACTTAGTTGGCAGACATGAAACAGAGCAGCTGAGTTAAGTCTCATATTCTCTAGGTTTGCTCTCTTAGAAGAAGACATAAGGGAAGTATCCTGATACCGGTCTTGGCAATAGTTTTTTGGATATGACACCAATTTTTTGGATATGACACAAAAGCAAAAGCAACAAGTGGGATTACATCAAACTAAAAAGCTTCTGTAAGGCAAAGGTAACTATCAACAAAACGAAAAGGAAACCTACAAAATGAGAGAAAATATTTGCAAACCATGTATATGACAAGGAGTTGATATCTAAAATATATATCCAAAGGAAAAGAAATCAGTATCTTGAAAAGATATCTGTAACTCCCGTGTTTGTTGCAGCATTATTCATAATAGGCATAAAACAACCTAAGTGTCCACTGATGTATGAATGGATAAAGAAATGTAATATATGCATTCCTGTGTAACATATGTATATATACATATATACAAATACACACAAATGTATACACACACACACAAAGGAATATTATTCAGCCATAAAAAGATGGAAATCCTGCCATTTGCAACAACATGGTTGACTCTGAAGGATACCATGCTAAGTGAAATAAGCCAGACAAAGACAAATGCTGTTATGAACTCACCCATAATGCAGAATCTAAAAATAAAATAATAAAACAGTAGAATACATAGAAACAGAATAGAATGGTGGTTGCCAGGGCTGAGGGGGTTATTTATAATAACAGAGATAAACTCGGAAGGCCTTGTGCTATGTGAAGTAAGCCAGACAAAGGATGACAAATACTGTATGGTATCAGTTGTATGCGAAACCAAAAGAAATAAAATAGACTCATAGACACAGAGAGAAGAATGGTGGTTTCTAGATGCTGGTGGGTGGGAGAAATAGGGAGATATTGATCAAAGGGTACAAACTTTCAGTTATAAGATGAATAAGTCCTGGAGATGTAACGTACAGAATGGTGACTATAGTTAAGAACACTGTATCGCATGCTTGAAATTTGCTAAGACAGTACATCTTAAGCATTCTCACCACACGCACACACACACACACACACACACAAAGGTAACTGTGTGGGGTGATAGATGTGTTAATCAACTTGATTGTGGTAATCATTTCACAATGTATACATATATCAAATCATTGCATTGTAAATTTTAAATATATACAGTTTTATTTGTCGGTTATACCTCAGTGAAGCTGAAAAATTATTTAAAATAAAAGCAGATGTATAATTGTTATTGATTTCCTCCCCCAAAATATAAGAAAAATAGAAAAGTTTTCATAAGCTGGCTGTGCACATTGTGTGTGTGTGTGTGTGTGTGTGTGCGTGTGTGTATCTGTGCTAACTTATACATTTTAAAGGAAATGGAACTGAACTATACTTTTTCATTTTTCTCCTCAAAAAATACAACTACCATATGATCCAGTAATTCTACTCCTAGGTATATATCTGAAGAAAATGAAAACACTAATTTGAAAAGATATATGCACCGCAGTATTCATAGCAGCATTATTTATAATAGCCAAGATATGGAAGCAATCTAAATGCCTATCGATAGATGAATGGATAAAGATCTGGTATATGTGTATGTATGGAATATTACTCAGCCATAAAAAAAAGAATGAAATTTTGCCATTTGCAACAATGTGGATGGACCTAGAGGGTATTCTGCTAAGTGAAATAAGAGAAACAAATACTGTATGTTATCACTTGTATGCTGAATCTAAAAAATAAAACAAACAAATGAATATAACAAAAATGTAACAAACTTACAGATATAGAGAACAAACTAGTGGTTACCGATGGGGAGAGGGAAGAGGGCAGGGGCAAGATAGCGTAAGGGAGCTAAGAGGTACAAACTACTATGTGCAAAATAAATAAACCACGAGGATATATTGTACAGCAGTGGGAATATAGCCAATATTTTATAATAACTTTAAATGGAGTATAATCTATAAAAATTTTGAATTCCTATGTTGTATACCTGAAACTAATATAATATTGTAAATCAACTATGCCTCAATTTAAGAAAAAGAAACAAAAAAAAAACCATTTACTTTTTCAATAGAAAGGAAATTATTGAAGAAATTATAAACAAAATCAAACAATAGGAAAAACTTGGTACTATCAAGTATTCTATTTTTAAGCATTCCGCAAACATGCTAATAACAAGGCAGAATCCATTTTCATTTAAGGGACATCTAAATTGTATTGAAATATTTTATGGTAAACATTCTGAATGGTAGAGTTTAATCTTATGTCAGCTAACACAAATTGCATTTTGGGCTTTATAAAAGCCACATGCTTGTCTAATAATGTTTACTCTTCCTTATAGGTAACTCATTTAGTTGACTGATGGCTACACAGGTATAGCAATATATGTAATGCTTAAGAAGTAGAGATATGGTAATAAAGAACATCACAAACTCAGAATATCAATACTGAATCAACATTAGTTAGCCCAACCTGTGTACATTATAAATGAAAACAAGAACACTGGTCTCCAATAACCTCAGCTTTATGAATATGTCTTCTGAATATACAAGCAGTAAAAGATTCAGTGATAAGTATTGTGTCCTTGGATACTCATAAATTCTTTCATGGGCATTGCCTATAAATGTCTTTATATTTTTAAAAACTATATTTCAAGTGTTCTAATATGCAGAGCAAGTCTGCATTTTTCCATGTGTAGCAGAAAAAAAAGCTTTAGGGTGAAACCATTTTTTTCTTTTTGTATAAATTCATAGCACTCTTAATGTAAACTACACGCCCAACTCCTGAATCTCTCCAAGTTGCATGAAAATTATACAGTTTTTCTGTTTCCGTAAGTAAAAATATCAAACATGTAAACCTATGTTAAGTGGAGCTTTGCTACCAACCTGAATCCGTGGGTCAGCAGCCATGGCATCACCTGGGAACTTGTTAGAAATATAAAATCTCTGGTCCCATTGCAGATCTACTAAATGAGAATTTGCATTTTTAATAAGATCCCCAAGTGATTCCATTACACATAAATTTGAGAAGCACTAATTTAGGATGCTTCATTGCTTGACCTAATTGTCTATAAATTAATCATATTTAAACAACTAGTGTATAAGTGTTCCACCTGTATCCTTTATTTTAGCAATATTCAAGATTTAGTGTATAACAAAATCACCAAAGGAACTTGTTTAAAATGCAAATTTTCATGCTTTTTCTCCAAGTTTAGAATTCAGTATGTCAAGGGTCAGGCCTGGTTGCTTCAAACCACAACTCTCCTGAACAGAATTAAAGTTAATAATAATATCAATTCTTCTGAACAGCTCCAAACCATAGCAAAATACCTAACACACAAGAGAGTCACATACAAACTGTTTCTGTTAAATTTTGAAACGTTTCAAACTTTTTCAGAAATGATTAATCATAGAATCAAAAACTTGGCAATAAATGGACCTGGTTCCATTCATGGAACACGACAAGACCATTCTTTTTTTTTCTTCCCCCCAAAGGAATGCCATTATTTCAGCCACAGGATAACAAAATAATTTACTGGAGAACTTAAGAAATTGACACTGTCCCCATTGGAATCGACTACTCTTATACTAGAAAATAAGACCAAAATATTATGCAAAGGACTTATTACAACTCTCAAGAGGTCTCAGACACAAATGCATCCTGGAGCCATCAGGTAACCAGTGGGGAAGCAAGGAATGTGTTATTCCAGTTACAGACATTCAAGTTCAAAACATGAAAACCTCTTGCACAGAACAAACAAAAACATCCCTGTGGGCAGCTCTCAGCCTATGATCTGCTAGTTTCTAGTATCTGTACTAACAGAGTTTTTCTAGTTAACTCTCCGGTGACATACCAGAGGGCATATTTTTATCATTAATTTGCTCATTTGGCTTACTGGGGGACTTCTGGGAACTATGTTACAGTTCAGATTTTACTTGCCACAGCAAAACATGGTGATATATCAGGCTCATAGTCTACATCACCCTTATAAAGCCAATGATCTTTAAAGACAAAGTCAGTAAGCTATAGCTATAATCTATGGGTTGGCATAGCCCTATTTTTTTCTAACAAGTTTTGTGATGGAGCCACACAGAAGATGTTCAGTGTGCAGGTTTTTATATTACACTATACACTGTCTTCAGAGAAACAGCAATTAGAATTTTTGCAGAGTACCTGTCTTCACCTCACTTGTTGCTTGTTATGTATAAGTGTATGATGCTAATTTACTTTGGTGCTTTGTTTCTGCATGATTATAAAAGACTTAAGATGTCCAGAAACATCATTGTTTCCAAATTTCACCTAGAGGTATCTTTATACTACAACTTCTAAAATGAAAAACAGAGCTGTTCACATGTTCACTATGTACTTTTATTTTAAATTCTAGCACAACAAACACAATGACATGAGAGGATCATTACCTCAATAATACGGATAACATTCCTTGACAAGTTGGCTTATAATTTACATACATTGCTTTTATCGGGAGCTATTTTAAGTATTATCTTAAGATATATTGTAAAACACAAGTCTCAAATATATACCAGTTGCAAACATAATGTGCTTAGTTACTATTTTCCTTATTATTTAAATAAAATGATTTAAAGTTCCTCAAAATCATGCCCACTGGTGTTCATGGTTTCAGGATGCATGACTCGTCCCATGAATAGGATTGTACCTGCATTGGGTTGGGAATGAACAAAAGAGGAGTTGAACAAAAGATATTTATTTTCCTTCTTGCTTACAATTAGCAATGTTCTCATTGTACGTAATAAATGAAAGCAAGAACACTGGTCTCCAATAACCTCAGCTTTATGAATAAACTATAAGTTTTCTGGATATACAAGCAGTAAAAGATTCAGTGATAAGTATTGTGTCCTTGGATACTCATAAATTCTAAAGATAAAAATGTAAGTAAATTATTTTCATTTAAAAAAGCATTTGAACACATCTGATAAATAATGCGGAAAATGTTTTCAATTAAAAAAATGATTTCTTTTTGGCTTATTAAAGTTCTGTTCTCATAACAGACTTACCTGTTCTCCTGTTCCTAATAAGAAAGAAAAATGGATGGTCGACAATAACTTGAGGATACAGCACAGCCATCCTGCTAATTGCAATCATTCCTGTAACGCAGAGAGAAATTAATTACATGTCTGTGGATGTGCGGGGACTAATGAGTAATTTCTCCAAACTACCTATGTTTAATGCAAAGGTAATGATTTACACGAAACAAGATTTTAAAGACTTAGAGAAAAATTGTAAATGTGTTAACATTTCTACTTGACCTTAAAAAAAATTCAAATACACACACACACACAGTTCCCGCCCTATAGGACAATTTATTTTGCATGTTACAAATTTTTATTCTCAGATAAATACTTACAGCTTTACTAAAATGACCTTTGAGTCAAGGAAAGGGGGAAAAAAACCACCACAAACAAACAAAAATCAGTTTCTTTATATTCTCAAATCATTATTTCTTTTACATGAAATGGGGATTTTTACATAGCAAGTCACCAGGCTTCTAGCAAATGGCCAGAACAGCAGTGATTAAAGAGAAAATACAGCAGGGAGAGATGCAGTGGTGTTTCCTACAGCTGGGAAATTGAATTCCCTTGAGATCCTTATTGTGGGATAATCATTTTATACTTTCTGCGGGGTGATTTGTTGTCAGGAAAAGGCCAAGATTAAATTATGTAAGATTTTAAGCTTTCTCGATGCCTGAGACTACTGTTTCTATTTCCTCCCGAAAACACCATTTTAATTGATGAGATCCTTTTAATGGACAAATGTATGCAGAAGTTAAAAATAATTTGCGCAAATATGATATGTTGCATTTTACCGGAGAAGGGAAAAATCCTACCAAAATTTCATGATGGCTGTTGAACATGATATTGAAACAAATCCAAAGAAACAAATGAAAAAAAAAAGAAAAATCCTTCTTGCTTAACTAAGGAAGTCAGAACATTCAAAATAACCAAGGACATTTACCATTTTGCTTTGGACACGTAATTTAGGTAAATTTAAAAAAAAATTTTATTTAAAATTGTTATTTTATTATTAACTTAAAATTATGCATTGCATGCTATCATGCACTCTTGTTTGCGCATGTGCTTTTTAAAAACTCAAAGCTCTTCACTGACAAAATTAAGAACTAACTTCCAAAAATATTAAGTAGAAAGAAAAATGATTAACTGGGCAGCAGGGAAATATTTAAAATATTTAAACAGGCAGCACAGCAGGAAAATCTATTCTGCAGAGCTGACAATCTCCTCCTGCCTCTCATTAGAGATGGGAGTTACTCTGTATGGGGCACTGAAATGAGTGCATGCTTCATATCCTATTTGGAAAATTCTAGCAGGTTCATCATTAGCTTGACTTCTAAGTTAGAGCAGGGTCAGTTTTTTGGCTTAGTTCTAAATGATCCCCATTCCCCACCCAAGATTGCTTTAAAAATCCAAATCTCAAAAAAGTGAGAGGATTTTGGAAAACAATAATTTGGCACCTGAAGCAGCAGTAGCTTCTGAGCCTTCTTCATTAACCTCTATGAAGGACTTGTGAATTGCTTTAGAAAGGAAAATCTCTTTATTATCTGCAAAAAAAAGAGATAACAGAAGCATTTTTTTGGTATCAGAGAAAGGGAAGCGCTTTTTCTTTAGTTAAACGGATTTGAGAAATATAAGTGATATAAGATACTGATATAAAACATAAGATATAATGTTGTAAGATTACATTTATGATTTGAAAGAACCATTGAAGATGTATTTTCTGTTTTGTCCTTATTTTATATTCTCTTGTTGATTTTCTCCTTCATTTTTATTGGTATTTTTCCCATCGTGTATTCCTTATATTGCCAGGAACAGCAGAAACGTGGCTCTGTTTTTAATAGCAACCTCAAATTAGTTCATAACTCAAGATAAAACTTCTTACATGTTTCTCCCTAACTTGAAATTTCAAAACATAAAATGAAAACAGAAATCCACATATAACCAGAATAAAAAGTTTTTTTAAAATCTAATCTCTAATTACTCTGATAATAGAAATGTCCTTGGCAAAGGAAAACAAAATTGACTTCTAGGTTGTAGAAACAGGAATATATTAAAAAGTTATTTCCCATTCCAATTAATTGGTTTATCTGAGGATTCAAAAACATGCTTTATCCTAAAGTCAGAGGAAATAACACCTTTTTAATATTAGGAGGACTGTTTTTCCCTTTGAATTGTCTTTCTAGTTATGCTTACTTTTAAATTAATGGCTGTTATAGGCTGAATTTGTTCTCTAAAATTCATATGTGGAAGCGCTCACCCCCAAGATTTCAGAATGTGACTGCATTTGGAGATAGTCTTAACTTTAAATGAGTCATTTGGGTGGGCCCTAATCCAGTATGACTGGTTTCTTTACAAGAGGAAACTTAGACACAGACAGGTACAGAGGGAAGACCATGCACGATGGTTAATTTTATGTGTCAGCTTGGCTTGGCCACAGTGCCCAGATAATTGGTCAAACATTATTCTGGATGTTTCTGCAAAGATGTTTTCTGGATGAGATTAACATTAAAGTTGGTGGACTTTGAGTAAAGCGGATTACTCTCATCATGTGGGTGGGCCTCATCCAATCAGATGAAGATTTTAATAGAACAAAGACTAGCCTCCTCTGAGCGAGAAGGAATTTTGCCAGCCTCAGACTCCTCCCTGTCTCTCTGGCCTGCTGACCTACCCTGCAGATTTTATATTTCCAAAGTCTACACAATTGTGCAAGCCAATTCCTTAAAATAAATCTCTTAATCTCTCTCTCTCTCTCTCTCCATATATATATATACACGCAAATGCAGATATCCATCTCTCTCCATATATATATATATGTATATCCATTCATCCTGTTGGTTCTGTTTATCTATAAAACCCTGACTAATACAACATGGGAAGACATAGGGAGAAAATGGCAATCTATAAGCCAAGAAGAGAGGTCTCATAAGAAATCCACCCTGAAGACAGCTTAATCTTGGACTTCTAGCCTCCAGAACTGTGACAAAATAAATGTCTGTTATTTAAGCCACTCAGTCTGTGGTGCCTCGTTACGGCAGAGCCCTAGCAAAGCATACAGTACAATAGCCTTCAGTCTTGGGTTTCCCACTTTTCCCCAAGATTAAAACAAAACAAACAGAAGATACTTCAAATATATAAAAAGGAAAATAGCACAAGAAGCAAGATAAAGGATTACTCAAGTTTGTACCATTTTTTTCCCTAATCCCAGGAGGTCTACTTCAAATTCAAGACAAATAACTTTGTTGCTGATGCCCAGCCCTATTTAGTAAAAGCACAATTGACTTCCATTAAACTACTTAGTAATACTTTCAAAGACACATAATTATCTGATACCGATAGAAAACGATGTTCAACAACATTTCTGGTACACCTGTTGCAAAGCACCTGCTTATTTTGAATAAGCCCCAAGACAAACTGGTGGCATGTCGGATTATATTTTAATAGGGATACTCCTTCCTCAGCTCATATTCAGCATTAAGACAGAAGCACTGCCTTATGAAATTGTCCATCTCACATATTATGATATTTTCTTCTAGAATGCATTTGATAACCAGAAGAAAAATTAAAAGCAATAAAGTTTTACATCAAATAATTAAGTATAATTAGCTTTCTCAAATCCAGATGACTAGGTTTTTTTAGCAAATGAAAAGAAAAATATCAATTGCATTAAGTAACTAGTCAAAATAATTTAGTGAGCAAAACAAACACTGAATTCCAAGACAGTAAAACATAACTATTTAGTAGTTAACAGATGCTATATTATTTTCAGATTCTGCTGCCCATTTTCATCAGTCTGCCAGTTAAGGTAGAGTCATGCATCAATGGCCCTAAATGCGAAAGTGACAGCACCCAGTTCCTAAAGGATAAGGAGTGTCCACATTGCCAGGTAAGCCCTGTTCAGAAATTTGAGGGGAAGAACTTCCCTGGTGGTGCAGTGGTTAAGAATCCGCCTGCCAATGCAGGAGACACGGATTCAATCCCTGGTCCAGGAAGATCCCACATGCTGCGGAGCAACTAAGCCCGTGAACCACAACTCCTGAGCCCGTGTGCCACAACTACTGAAGCCTGCACGGCTAGAGCTCATGCTCCACAACAAGAGAAGCCACCACAATGAGAAGCCCGCGTGCAGCAACCCAATGCAGCCAAAAATAAATAAATTTATTTTTAAAAGAAGAAAAAGAAATTTGAGGAGAGTTTTCAATAACACCGAATGATATTTCAGACACATTAATTTGCACAAAGGAAACTGCCTCCAGTATCCCCTGAGCCTGATTTGCTGACTGTACTAAGCACCTTCAAAGAAGGAATCTCTTCCCTTCAACCCTGGCGTCTGCCCCAAGTATACCCTCCTCTAGACCCCAAACCTCTCACGTGCTCTCATTTACCTCCACAGAATGGTTTTGAGGGGAGGGATGCTGAAAGACATCATGGCAGAAAGATCAAGAAAGCAAGAATGCCG